ATTAGGGGGTTCACCATATAGGGTCTATGCCACTTGACTTAGCACTTCAGGACTTACTGTGTTGTGTTGTTCTGTCAAGGTTATACACTCCCCAGAGCAGGGACTTGTTTCACTTTTCATATAATCCTTCCTCTGCCAACTCCCCAACCCCATGCTTTGTACAGAGCTAATTACATAGTAGGTCCCGAGTAAATATTTTTCTATTGATTGATAATTGTCCCGTAGTGTTGAGGGAAAAGCATGTATGGAAGTATAAGCAGAGCGGTCAAAGTTGAGGTCAAAAGATTTATCCAAATGAGGTAATAAAATACTGCTGGGTAGGGCCTTGCAGAAGGAATGTCAAGTGTGGGCTTTAACACAACCTAATTCTCTCTGGCAACCAGGTGTTCCTGGCTTAGGTAGTGATTAGAGCTTAGGGGTGGAGTAAAAGAAGTACAGTCTTGGCAAAAGCTTATAAAATACCTAAGCACAGAATGTCCCCAACTTGGCCCTGGGGGCAGCTGCTCACACAGGCCCGTGAGTTCTTCCCAAGGAAGTGGGACCAAACAAAGGATTGGAGACTTCAAAAAGGGAGTTCTCAGATCTGCATCCTGGTTCTATGTGCAGTCATTCTGCCTTGAGGGGCCAGCACTACTTGTGATTCAAGGAGAACCACTGAACCTCTTCCAGAAGATGGTCGTGAGAACCACCCTGCTGCATTGCTTCAGAAGGAAGCCCTGCTCACCGGAGCAGCGACGTGCAGCCGAGCATCTAGATCTGCTGCGTTCCTCCCCAGCTGTGCTGCAGCTTGTGAAGGGCAGTATAGACCCGTCCCTTCTTGTCTTGAGGAATTTTTCAATGATGCTGGAAGAGCTTGAGGATACATTTCCTTTCCGCTCCAGCCAGGGCATCCAGCTCCTGTGTACACAACTTGTAGTCATTTCCTATCACATTGGATCTTTTCGTTGACCACTGAGCCTTTCTTTTGCTTAAATGGGTACTTAGTTTTCAATCTATTTAACTACATTCCTTCTTGTATTTTTATCTATTTGATGTCATGAAAGTCTTGAATGCCCCCATAAAATGATAAGCTTCTTGGGGACCATGCTACATGATACTCTGGGCTCGTATGCTTGCCTCCGGTATCCAGTACACAGTAAACATCGGATGCTGGTGGTGGTGTTAGGTGCCATCGGGTTGATTTCAATTCAGCTATTTCACGAGACATAGAACTGCCCCAGCGGGTTTTGTAGGCTGTCATACTTAATGGAACAAATCACCAGGTCTTTCTCCCACAGAGCCACTGGGTGGGTTTGAACTTCCAACCTTGCAGCTGGCAGTTGTCTTATCCCTTGTTCTACTAGGAATCCTTAATTATTATACAGAATAAATATATGGAAATTTGTAAGTGATCTATTGTCTATATTGTGGGTTACTATGTAGTGGTTAAAAAGAATGCAGTGGCTCTACATATTCCGATATGGAGAGATTTCCGATTCGTTTTATTGTGTCAAAGATAAAAACACTCGAGCAAGTGCAGTATGAAACCCCTTATGCTGAAAAAAGCGGCAGAAGAAATGAGTGATCTGTTTATTTTTTCCTCATACACCCTCTTGTTGTTAGATGCCATTAGTCAGTTTCAACTCAGGGCAACTCTATGTACAACAGAAAAAACCACTCCTGGCCCTGCACCATCACACTCATGGTTATGTGTGAGTTCACATACACATTCTCCTAGTCACAGACATTTGTTACCACCTAGTGTCGATGGGAGCAGAACCCAGCAAACACTGGGTGCTGCTTTTCAAAAGGAATGGTTGGGAAAGGTAACTCTGCTGTGTAAAGCAGCTAGCACAGCACTTGTTACAGCAGCAGTTGCTAGGTGTTGTCAAGTCTTTTCCAACTCATAGTGCCCCTGGGCACAACACAATGAAACACTGCCTGGTGCAGCACCATGTTCACAATAGTTGCTATGTTTAAATCCACTGTTGCCGCTGTGTCAATCCACCCCCTCAAAGGTCTTCCTTTGTGTATTGTTTCTGTGCAGACCCCCATTTTTCCAAGCATAATGTCTTTCCAGGGACTGGTCTCTCCTGATAACATGTCCAAAGTACATGAAGTAAACTCCTGCCATCCTCATCTCTAAGGAGTGCTCTAGCTACCCTTCTTCCAAGGGCAGATTAATTGGTTCTTCTGGCAGTCCAAAGTACTTTGAATCTTCTTCACCAATACCATAATTCAAATGTATTGATTCTTCTCTGGTCTTCTTTAGCCACTGTCCAACTTTTATGTGCATCTGAGGCTTGGGTCAGGCTCACCTTAGTCCTCAAAGTGACATCCTTGCTCTTCAACACTTGAAAGAGGTCTTGTGCAGCAGATCTGCCCTGTGCAATATGTCGTTTGGTTTCTTTACTGCTGCTTCCATGAACTTTGATTGTAGTAAGTGCATAGCACTTAACGTGGTAAGAACATTGCTTTTAATGCTTTATACAAATTAACTCATTTAACCCTCACAATTAGTCCTATTAGGAAACTGAGGCAAAGAGAGGTATTTTGCCCTGGTTCACACATCACAACAAGCAAATTAGTAGAAAAGTGGTTTAAACCCAAGCAGACTAGCTCCAGAGCCTACACCATTCTCAACCACTATGGTGTTTGATAAATGTGCACTTCCCTCCACTCCCC